TTTGATCAATTTTGTGATAAGACAAGACAAGATTACGGTAGTTTTCGTCAAAAGGAAAGGAGCAAACTCTAGCTACGATAAACATTCGAAATTCTCATTCAAAAAAACATTTTAAACTTTTGATTTTTTTTCTACTTTGTTCACCAAGAGAAAGGAATTGAAAAGGTTTTGAAATTCGAAGAGAAATCCTGAGAAATTCCCCACTAATCCTGCGAATTTTTAAGGGATTTTGGTAGCTGATCACTTTCACCAATGGGAATTCTAATCTAGAAGATTTGTGGGGTTTTTTCAAAGTGAAAGTATAAGGGATTGGCGGCTGAGTGGGTGTCAAAATGAAGATCCGAAAATGTTACTCAAAATTATTTACAGGAAATGGTGAAAGGAAAGGCGAGTGGGGTGATCAGGGTTCTTCGGTCTTTGTCTGGGGTTTTGTGCCAGCCTAAAAAGTATAAGTATAAGTCGAAAGTGAAAGTATAAGGGATTGGCGGCTCGGTGGGTGCCAAAATGAAGATCAGAAACTGTTACTCAAAATTCTTTACAGGAAATGGTGAAAGGAAAGGCCATTAATTAATTTTGAAAGAAGTGCTTAAGATTATCGTTTTTTTTGCTAAAATTAAAAGACAAATGAGGTAGTATAAGGCAAATTTCCCTCACTAATCCTGCGAATTTTTGAAGGAATTTTGGTAGCTGATCACTTTCACCAATGGGGAATTCTAATCTAGAAGATTTGTGGGTTTTTTGAAAGTGAAAGTATTAAGGGATTGACGATTGATTGAGTGTCAAAATGAAGATCAGAAACTGTTACGCAAAATTTCCATTTTTTTTTCTTATTTCAATCCATTTAGATTTATCAAAGTCAAAAAAATCGTTTTCTTTTCCGAAAATGTTTTCAAATGTTTCCTGTTTTTAAATTATTCCGATTTCCTTTTTCTTTTCTTTCTTTCTTTCCTTCTTTCCTTTTCTTTCTTTCCTTTTCTTTTTTTCCTTCCTTCCTTCTTTCTTTCTTTCCTTCTTTTCTTTTCATCAATCCATACCAAAATTTCACTCGTTCACATCTCATTAACACAAAAAAATAGATAAAGAAGAAACTCAAATCAAAAACTAATCAAAGTTTATTGAAAAATCATTATTTAAAAGATTCAGGCGCTAGAAAGGGTGTGTTTACAGATTTTTTCTAAGATCATAAAGTATAAGCAAGTTACCGGGGCGTTGCACGCTGTTTCTGTTTTTTTTCTTTTGTCCTCAAAATATCAAGATCGAAAATTTTTGGCGAATCTAGGCAACGAGGGGGAAACAGGAGTTGTTTTGATCGATTACACGTAAAAAAAAATAGTGTGCAAGAAAATAGCAAAAAAAAATGGAAACTTGGAAACTGTAAAATCGTTATCAACTCGGTTCACCGGGAAATATTAGGGAAATAGATCAGTCTGATCTACTAGCCTAACCTAGAATAATATACCGTCTTCTCTCTAATAGTAGTGTACCCAAAGCTTCGCCTAAATTCCTCGAAATCTCGAGAACCGCTTATCAGAACCTATCGATGTGGGGTCGGAAAATGTAGCTGACGATCAGATCTTGTGGGGGATTAGAGTGTTGGACTTCTGCAAAAGCTTGGAAACCGTAAAATAGTCATCAACGCGGCTCGGTACCGTGCACTACTATTAGAGAAAATCTTTCTACTCACCAAAACAATTGGCAACATGTAGCGCGAGCCCATCGGGGTTCAGCGGTTGATCGCGGAATGATGTAGCTGCACGCTCAATGGCATGTCCCAACGCGTGATGTCTCGACGAGCCAGATGGAGTCGACGAGCATGAAGGCGCAACGGTGCTGCTCATTCGCTTCGCCTCGCCTAGAGTTTCGCAATTTCGCGATCAAGAAAGAAAGCACATATAGTTAAACTTTTTCCTTAGCATTTCCACTTACCACTCGACGATCGTCTCACGTCATGCATCTGGATGGAATTAATTACGAGTTTCAATAGGGCAAAAACGCTCTTGCTTATTTCCACTTCATCTCTCCTCCATACTGCTGCTGCTACTGAAAAAAAAAATAAGTATAAATGTGGATGAAAGTCGGATAGAAATACAAAAGTAATGTTTTAAAAGAAGTAATTGCACTATACAAAGATTCTCAACAAACAAACAACAAAATCGACTAAAGCAAATGTATAAAATTATGGCATTAAATTTTGTTCAACAAGAACTTGTTTCGGAATTGAAATGGACGTGAGTTGAGGAGTGTCAGATCAGACCTCAGGCTTAGGCCCAAGCAAGATCAAGGTAAACTTTGAAAGTAAAGTGGTAAAAGTCATCAAAAAGTAAGAGTTGATTGTTATAGAATGTCGATTAAAGTCGATGTCGATTATAGAATGTCGGTTAAAAAAACACAACTGTGGTTAATAGGTAAAAAGAAAATGTAAAAAAAGAGCCGGATATGAAGACCGTTAGTGAAAAGGAGAGATTTCAAGGGAAGGGACAGGAGGGGAAATGAGAAAATTGGAGAATTTGGGGGAAAGTCGAGAATGGGAAAGATAAAAAGAGCTCAAAATGGAATGTGGAAAGATTTAAGGGGAATGTTGTGCAGGAAGAGAAAAGATGGTGAATGTAAAATCATGTAGTGAAAAAAAACTCGTGAAATAGTGATGTAAACGATTAGCAAGAGGGATGCAGGTGGATTTTTGGAGGGGGAAATTGGGGAATTGGGCAATTTTGACGGGTCGAAAGTTAAAGAGTGAGAGTTGGCATTGAAAAAGAAGAAAAACGTTGAAAAAAGATTGAAATGCAGAGATTGGAGAGTGGTAAAGAAACAGAAAAGTTTCTGAGGAGCTCGAGCTTTTCGGAAGAGGGGAGAATTTTGCAAGAATTTAGAGATAAAGTGGTTGGGTGACAATGGAAGAGAAGTGACAATTCGTTGGTTGGAGGTGGAGGAGGAGGAGGAGATGTGGATGGAGAGTTGAATTTCGAAGAAGTAAAGGAGAGAAAAGAAATTCAGCAAAGAAGCAGATGAGAAAATTGTAGCCAAGCGAGACAAAGCTGAAGTTTGAAGAGAAGTTCGCAAAGAAATTGGAGAGTGGATTTTGAAAAGAAGAAGTTTGAGAAAGAGTTGAGCAAAAGATTTAGAGAAAAGAAGTAGAAAAGAAGTAGAAAAGAAGGAATCAAAAATTTGGAGAGTTGATTGGAGTGAGAAGAACGAGAAAGGGAAGCTTCGAGAATCATCAAAATTGTTGGCAGATGATTGAATAGATGATGGGAGTAGAGAACGAGAAAAACAGGAGAGATTTTCGAAAACAGAAAGAATGAGAAGTGAGAAGAAGTGGAGAAAAATGTGTAGAGGTGGCAGAAGTGAAATGCATCGAAAAAGAGAATTCAGCGAGAGAAATGCGATGGGGCTTCTGCCAAAAAAGGAGGTGAAGAGGGAGGGGAGAAGCCAGAGCCGGCACCCAGCCGCTTTTCTCTTTTTTTTGTGTCAGGGGATCGATGTCGGATTCCGGGGCACGAGGCGGCAACCCGGTGTGTGCCCGTTTCCCCTGGATGGACGAGACCAAGGCAAAGCCAGACCAAGGGGGAAAGCAAGGCCCCGCCCCACTTCCTCCTTCACGCGATGAGCACCAAGATCATGCCCGCCTCTCTCCCACCGCACATTTGGCTAATTGGTTGGAGATGTAAAAGCACGGGAGAAATTCCCCCGGCACACACACACAACAGCACCACCGCCGCCCCTCATCGCCAAAGATTGTCCCCTCGGATTACTTGAGAGAGAGAGAGAGAGAGAGAATTTACATTTTGAAAGGGGTTTTGATATTTTAATAGGATGTTTACTTTACTGTTGTTTACCACAGTACCGAACTGTGGTACTGTTTCGGTATCACAGTTCTAACTACTAACGACAATGAAACCCTGGAGTCAACACCTTGAATTAAGCAATGGAATAATTAAAATTAAAAGCTCTAGTAAAGAAAATTCCCGAAATTGATTGAATGTGTGTAGCTTTTTTTTTACGCATTTTACAGCACCGAGAGCTCCCAGTTTCCTATTCGTGAAACCGAGTGCGACACTTGAAAAGTTGATCCCCTACTTGAGACAAGAAACTTCTGGCATCTTCTGAAACAAACTTTCCGAAAAAAAAGTTTAGGATCTTTGGCATAAAGATGTGTACTATCACTTTATCCTACACCAATTCTCCACCCCGAAATAATTCTCATTTTCCAATTTCTTAAACTGTTAAGAACTACATTTTGCCCTTGATCAAGCTAAATTTATGCAATAAAACTTACCAAAGATACCAAACTTCTATTACACTTTATTCCCTTTCAGATTTGCAGTTTAAAAAATTTCATTGTAAAACCTGCCAAAAAAAAAATGTAAACTTTATTCTGTGAAAACACTTTCCTATAACAGATCTTTGTAAATCTTCGGCTTAATTGTAAAAGAAGATAAAAGAAGATAACTTGCTGTGACTAGAAATGAAACAAATCAAATGAAAAAGAAGAACAAACGGGGTTAATGGTCAACACAAAATAGAGAACCTAATCAATCTAGAACTTCTCGGAAGCGAGAGAGACTACAATAACAATCTCAAAAAAAGAAATTAACTGGGCCAAAAAAAGGAAAACGATACGTTGCACAAAAATGGGCCTTGAACTGAGGGGAATTCTCTTAAAAACAAACAGAAAAACAAAAGCAAGAAGCTCACGTAGCACTGGTGTAAAAATCGCGCGGTTTTGATTATGGCAGCAAAAAGACACAAAGAGGCGGCAAATGTACAAATAAATGAAGTCATTGGGTGCACCAAAATACTTGTAGTATTTTTAGACTGTGAAAAGCAAGTTTGTCTGCACAAAAGCGCCACACCAAAAAAGACAATCATATCACGAGAAGCGTTCAATTTCAGGCAAGAAAGGCAAGGGGAACCAGAAGAAACATAAAAGACACCAATTTTATATACAAATCGAGAAATGAAAGAGTTCTGTGGACTTGAAAAAAAATTAAAATTATCTACGACAGCCAACTGGAGGCGAAATTGCGCAGCGATGAGTATTGCGGGGCGCCTCGTTGAGATGATCCTGATGATCTGAAAAATCCATATGAATATAAGGATTAAAACGGTAGTTTGCTAGGTAAAACTTTGAAAAAAATTCGAAAGTTTTGTTAATTTTAAAGCGTGAACTAAACTTTACATACAAAACTCTTCAAAAATTTACCCTTCAGGCGGATTCCTTCGAATCAGTGTCGACGAGTTGCGAGCCGCCTCCCCACGCAGCAATTCAGCGCGCTCTTCACTAAAGATTCAACGTCAACTTTGCTTGATGTACAAATATCAGCTTGTTTAACACTACTCACATCATCTCTTCGTGGTCCATCACTTTTAAGATCAAGTTGTTCTTCCTCGAAAGAGCCTCAATGAGCTGTTGCATCAGTTGATCCGTGTGTTCTTTCTCTTCGGCAGTCCGGTAATGGCCTAAAGCAAAGTAATCAAATCAGCAGCAAAATGATCAACGTTTATTACTCTCAAATTAGTCAGCCCAGCTATCTCAGATCTTAACACACTGCCTTAAACAGTCGATTTGTCTACCGGATAGTTTAATCTTCCAAACAACTAACCTCCGTCATCTCGTTGTCCCAATTCCCCTTGCAGATCTTGTATCTCCATTATCGTATTGCGAATCTTCTCAATGATATTGTAGTACTCTTGCTTGTTGACGAGTCGATCCTAAAAATTTGCTCCTAAAGCAAGGGTTAAACAACAAACAAACCTTTTCAATGTTACAAAACTGCAGCGTCTCCACCAACATCGGCTCTTCATCGTCACCAATGCCTAAGATTTTAAAATAAAATGAATTAATGAGGCTTTGAGTAGATGAATCAAAAGCCCAAAGCGCTACCTGGTTCTCCCATCTTTGTCCTGATTTGTTCAGCCTGCGCATCAAGGTCCTTCATTTTCCCGGTAATCTCCACCAGTTCACGAGCCGTCGATTGTGGGTCAGCGACATCATTCTAAAAAGCAAATAATTACACAAATAAAAGTTCATACAAACCTCCCATTTTGAAGTGATCTTTGTTCGAGTCGGTGTTGAAAAAGTGTCTAAAAAGAAAATGAAAATCAGCAAGAAAATAAATTTGACTCACAATCATTGGAGCCACTCGGCGCCGGCGTTTCGGAGAACTAAAATTTGAATGTAGCTAGCTTCGAACTGATTGCAAAATGTGCTGACAGATATTTTCGGGACAAGATGAAATTGTGATGTGTTATCGAGAATGATGCAAAGAATATTTCACTGAATCACGTGCATCTGATAAATAACACTATCCAAAAAACACTTTGATCGCTTACATAGATAAATATTGACAATCACATGCTTGCCACCCAATAAAGAATCCTTTACGAAAATCCCAATCATCGTGCAATTGTGCTGATAAACCTCCACGAAACAAATGTGCGTTGACACCAAGAAAAATGCCCTTGCAATACCATGCCAAATTACCCCGTATTGATTAAAGAGTTGACTGATCGAATCTCTCAACTCCGATCCTCTCATGCTCCCGAAGCGGCGTACCCGGTCAAAAGTCGACCTCGGTGTCGATTCAACCGACGTGCGGCCATTCAAAGTTGGGGTCACATTTTCACTACTCTGAACAACAACACTACGGCTTAACAAAAGTGCTAATTTCTCTACCACGAATGGGTGTGGATTGCTTTGGAAAGAAAGGCAACGATTTGTTGTTGAAAGCTTGGAAAGCAAACCCGTTGATAAAAAATGAATAACCGTTAGGGCAAATAAGTTTTAAGGCAAAAAAGAAACGCGTACCCGCTCCACAAGATTTTGCGTGGTCCGGCCCATTGGCGGAATGATTGGAGTTCCATCTAAATGAATCATAAAGTATCTGAAAAGTTAGATGTTCAATTGTTGAAATAATAATAAATTTGATAGACGTAGTGAAATTGAGGAACTAAATAACCACCACAACACGTACAATCTTTTCTCGGCAACACCGGCGATGGATCCTGCTTGCGGAAGCTACGAATTGTCACATTTAACGGCACAGCCCCTACAAAAAAGAAAACGACAACATAGGGTTATTGACAATGAAAAAGAAAGATTGTATATAGCTTGACAAGCAGCTGGTTTATGAAACTACCACACAAAAGCACGCACCTACTCTCCTCAAATCCGTGTTTGATCCCAAACGACTTCCGTTTGATTGAATCGATTCGCTTCGACGAAAATCGGACACCATCGAGCCTATATAGCAACACAAAACTATAGGCAGAACTAACTTGAAGTTGCTTTAAAGCTAATACGATTTAGAACTCGAATAGGTACAACTAATCAGACAACTATAATGTCTGTGATTGAAAATTTGTCTCACTACACAACAAGGCTCAAGAACAGTTCAGTTTGAGCATGCATTGAGAGAAAAACTACAAAACAATGTTTACAAATTTACCATCTGGTTGTATCCTGTGCGTGGCACCGTTCTGAACAGCCTCATCAATGATATGTCGTGCCCGTTCGCGAACTTCTGTGCTGGCTGGGACCTTAAACAAAGATTTGTATTTATTAAATAAGTCAAGACTGCAATTGAAGAGCAATCTTACCTGGTTTTGAGTCAAAAATGGTGCTGGATTGTTGAGCATCTTCCGTGCTTTTTCTTGCAGAACCTCGCGGCGAGCTGGACTAGCAGCTCGTCCCTGAAACATTAACCTTTTTATTTGCCCAAAGTTTCAAAGCGATAGCCTCGGGCTTAAGAAAACAACTCTACCTTCATTGATGGAGATGCTAATGATTCTGAATATCGGCTTGCCAAATCAACCACATCGTTCCCACTATAATTCTCTTCATATTCATACAAATTAAAGCTGCCCACTTTTCTTGATGTCCATTATGAGCAGATCCTTTCCTCGAATTGTGTTGAGTAGTTAGCGGTGGCTGTGCCGAGAATTTGGATTCATTCTTTGGTGCCTAACAATAAGCAAAAATTTGTTATGGTCAGTAACACGGTTTTACCTTTTCTGTAGAGTATTCATCATCGATCACACTTTTCATCTGTTCCAATTCTTGCATCATCTAAACAGAAAGCATTTTATGATAAATGTGCAGATGCTTACCTTCTTTTCCGATTCAGAAAATCCGTAAATTGTTGAAAGGCGATAATCTGAACCACTCGCCAAGTTTGCGCCATCAAGAGATCCCTCAAAGACTCCTCTGAAACGCATAATGAGAAAAAGTTGAAAAATTACTGTACCACTAACCTTAATTTCTCCAGTAGCAAGCGTACATCCTTCTCATCGGGCGTCAAAATGTCATATTCATCGGGCAAATTTGTCAAGCCCATTGCATGAGCGCTGAGAAGAGCCTGAAACAAAAACTTGTAGGCAGAACTAATCTACGTGACTTACCTTTGTCACATTTGACTTTCTTCCACTTAACGTATCTGAGAAGTCGAGCGCATCAAAATCCCCGATCAAATCCGGTCGATATGCGTGAATGAGAGCGCAGAGGGTCACTCCCGATCGCCACGATTTTCTAAAGGAAACAATTAAAGGTCCACATAATAAAATTTTAATCGTTAAAGTAATTCTATTTTTGTATCTAACAAAACCAAAAACTTACGTAAAATCCTGCACTTTGACTCCTTGATAGTCCTTTGTGACCCGTTGTGCCCAAGCCAGTAATGTTTCCCCTTCAATCTTCTCGGGTGGTGGCTGTGATGGAGCACGAGATGGAGTTCTAGAACAATTTCGGTGGGTAAGTCAACTCTAAAAAGCATTCCCACCTTGTCGATGCCCGACCCAACCCATGTCGAAGTGGCGGTGATGAAACGAGAACCGGTCGAGATTTATCGTCAACCTAAACACATGAATCATTAATCTGCCATCATGAATTATCCCTAGAGTCTGACTTTAGCTTTAGACCCCTAAAGATATGATTTAAGGTTTAGTCAGGCAATTGTAGCCACCTCAAACACCAGCTCAGTGCTCTTCCTCTTTGCATTGGCAATCGGATCGGGTGTCGTGGTCAACGATCGACCTGGAGCTTCACGCCAAGACGGGCGAACAGGTGATGCTGGACCTAAAAGTAACATATTTTACTATTAGATAAAGTGCCATTTTTAATACCTTCGCTTGACACCGCCTTTGCATCATGAATATCAACTTCTATTGGCAGCAAATCCCTTGTCAATGTGGAAGCTTGCGAAGAATCATCACGCCTAAAGAATTTTTTAATCTGCACGAGTGAGTTATGTTTGGTTGAAAAATTTAAACCCAACCAACCTTCCTTCACTCAAAAATTGACTTGAAAGCACGAGAACAATGATCGCCGACTGTAGATTGGGCACAAGTGGGCGCATTTTGAGCTAAATTTGAGAATTACCTATGCACCTTTCTTTGAAATCTTTTCTTGTTTATTCTTTTAGGTATTTTACGCAGAACATCCAATATCACCATGTCCTTTCAATAATGACTTTGGTAGATCCGAATATTCACCTTCATATGTGACTTCTGATCGGGCGTCTCGTTAACGAAAAGACGCATGTTGAGAGGAACGGCGGCGATCGGCTTCTTCTTTCCTTTCGGGGTGAAACTCTCGATCACGATCGTCCACTCCTAAAGAAAAGAAATTAAACAAGTGTTTTTCATTTATAAAACCAAAAACTTAAACTAAAAACAAACACAAACCTTATCATCATAATGCTCATCGTTGACTCCTTTGTAAAGCGTTGTTAGAATTTCAATGTTCTCCTAAAAAGGACAAAATGAATCTAGTTTCACATTTTATCATTTCTACATTTTATGTTCAATATTTAAGAATTGCATACCGGTGTTTGTGCGGGCCAAACGATGATTGACTGCTCGGGCTTTGAGTAGGACGTTTCCCATTGGCGTTTACCCGACGAGATCTTTCGTCGTCTAGAAGGAAAACATATAAATGGTAAGAAATAACTAATTAAGCAAGTCAAACTATAAAAGAACCTTAAAAAAAGCTTGAAAATTTACCTGTGCATAAACGAAACCGTCATCAAATGTGGGTGCCATTCGGGCGTGGCAACAAGTTGAAGCTCCTAAACAAATTATTATTTCAAGATTTTAAACAAACTAGATCCTGATATCTAAGTAGTTACTTCCAGAGCAAAAATTGTGGATCAAAGATCTTAAAAAGCTAATTATTAAAATCTCACCTGTAGTCCGATGGTAAACTTGAACTTTGAGGGTTTCTTGTGTGACCGCTGTATGCGCTTCCACATCTCTGAAACGAAAAAAATACACATTAAACTTAATTAAAACGTAAGGACAAACAAAGAAAAATGAGATAAAACGTTTAAAATACGATTTTGCAAGATAATTCACGAAAAAGTAGTCAATTTAGTCGAAAAAAAAGTCGATTTTTGTGCTACAACTGTTCTATTAGTCATTCTTGTAATATTTTATTATAATTTTACAGAGATTGACTAAGAAATCGAAATCGTTGCAAAATCCTTAACCAAATTTTTTTAAATTGCATAAATTTAAAAAAGATTTGCTAACTTTCCGCTAATTTCTCCACAATTCTCACGATATTCAATTAAATAACTCAATAGGATTTTGTAAAATGCAAATTTATGCTTAATAAAGGGGAAATTTTACTAGCGTTTAAGGCAACAAATGCATTGAAAATGAATGCGAAAATGAATGAGAAAATGAATGAGAAAATTGTCATCAAAAATTTTTTTTTTGCTTACTAAAGTCAGTTGTTATTCTTGGGGCCACATCAGAAAGAGTCTTGGGTGTCAGGGAGAGAAATTCTTTTTTCCAATTTTCTCCCAAAAAAAGCGCTAACAGAACCGCGATCAACAACGGGGAAAATGGGGAGAAAAGAGAAAAAAAAAAGGATGAGTGTAAGGTTAAAAAGGAAAAAGAGACAACACCCATTATTTTAGCGGCATCAATTTCTCTCTTCACTTGTTGCTCAAAAGTACCGTAGTCGGGGGAATCCGAGCGGGACCTGGCGCGGGTTTGATGGCGTAAATAGCTGTGATTTTCTTGGTTGTGATTTAGAGAATTTTTTAGATTTCTTCAAAATGTTATTTTCTTTTTTATTACTATTCTTTTTTTTTCGTATCGCTGATGGAGCAAAATTTCGAGCCGAGAAAATGAGTTACATTTATGAGAAAGCTATGCAAAAGATCGATGACAGGAAAAGATTGGGAAAATTCGAGGTTCGACTTTTGCTTAGGCTCTAGTTTTAATTTGAAGAGGTTTTTTTAAAAGTGCTCTTAGAAAAGCACCTTTTCCGATATTAGGAAAGAACCGCCGTTTCAGACAGAACTCGAGAAATTCGACAAGCTTTATATGGACACAAAAGCAAAAGATGGCGATGGACATGACGTGCGAAAGGGTGAGAAAACTCATAGAGTCATAGATAAATGTAATTAAAGAAACAAATCTTTAGACTTCATTCAACTCGACGACAAACTTCGTTCACTCCTCGAAAAGTACGAGTTAGCCTCAGTGTTGGACGCGTTCAAAATGGTAACCATTTAAAAGATAAAGAGAGAAATTTTAGAGCCAACGATCGTCAACTAATGACCGCTTTGAGAAACGAGTTCAAGGTTTTCGAAAAGTTGTCGTTTTTGTTTGGCGAGAGATTTTCAACATAACTCTGTCCCAAAGCTTATACAGTGGCGGACAATTAACTTCAATTAACAATTGTCCGCCACTGTATGTTTTAAAAAAGATGTATAATAAGTAAAATTTGAAATTTTTTGCAGAAAAGAAAGCTTCGAAACGAGCAAGAGATGGCGAATTCAAATTTGGTATTGTCTGCGGAGAAGTTCGCGGATCCGAAATTGCAAAAGCTTTGGGATGGGGCACTCATAGCAAAGTTTGGACCAGAGGAATTAACGGGTATTGTAATTACCGTAAATACTGTAATAGTACCCCACCCCCATAATGACGGTGTGGAGTGTTGCGTAGTCTAGCTTTGAACGAGTTTTTCTCGACACTGGTTTATGCTACAATGCGGGCTTAGGTATCAAAAAATAGCCCTGAATTTCAGCTATTTTTTGATACCAAAGACGCATTTTTTTGAAAGTACTAAAAAACTTTTGCGACTACGCGACTGTACGAGGGTGGTGGGGTACTATTACAGTATTTACGATAGTTTATTGTCGAGTAATGTCGTCTTTTAAAAGACGATTTTTTAAAAAAAAAACATAGAATCGGGGAAAAAAGCGTTTTCAGCCCTACACGGTGATTTGAAAGAGGCAGAGAGAAAGATTGCCGAGTATCACGATGCATTGCAAGACTTCAATAAGGTAACAACTTTAAAAACGTCTAGGTATTGATTAGTATTTACTTACTTACAAATGTTGATAACAAATTTAACAATCTTATTCTTAGGTACCACACGAGAACTCGATTCATTTCGATCGAGACGAGATCATCGATCAAAAGGTATGAGTCAGAAGTTTCCTAGTTCCTAGTTTTATTAAAATATCCCAAAATAGTGAGAGTATTCATTTTAAATAAAATATTCAACTAAAAAAGATTGAATATGTTTATTTTTAGAATATGTAGTCCTTTTCGGCATACTGTATAATTTATTTTATGTAGGGGATTTATTGTATTATTCTGTAGCGATGCAAAGATCAAAGCTTAGCTGGAATTTTAGAATTTTTAGAATAGAAAAAGAAGAAAAGAATTTTCGTTTCTAAATAAAGCGATACTAGTGTTAAAAAGTAATAAAAGATAGTACTAAAGATAATCAAAAACTTTCCAGAATCAACGTCTAAAAGATGCGCACAAAAAGATGTCCACCCATTTGGAGGAAGTGCATCAGAGGGTAACAAACGAGAAATATTCACCGTTTGAGGATACAAAAGTGAAGAAACTGTGGAATACGGTAATAGGATTATTATTATTGATTTTATTATTGAATACAAATTTCTAGGCACAAGCCAACGCCAATCTCACCGCACACGATTTAGAAATTCTCCAACAAGAACTCCTCCATTTCGAACAACAAATCAAAAAGCTCAACTTTCACAAAGTAGTAGAAAATTTTATGATAAAAGTTCAAGAATTTAGGAAGAATTGAAAGCTATTCGAGAGATCACCGAGCACACAGGAAAAGCCACAGTGCAGGTTTGTGAGATGCGAATAGGTAGATCACAAAACGACTCTCGTACACCAATTAGGTGAATACGCATTGAGTGTGCTACGCAATACGCAATACGCAATACGGTGAATACGCAATACGCATTGAGTGTGCTATAAAATCGTTTATTTACAGAAAATCATGTTTACTTTTTTTTTTTCCTTAGAATCTCGAGCACGGTGAATTGGAGGCAAAACACGAGCGGATGAGTCGAAAGTTGAAGAAACTCGAGACGTACATCGAGGGGAAAGTTCGACACTCGGAATTGTAGAAAAGGCATAACATTTATAATAAAATATAATTGTAAAATATCTAATATAAAAGTTATTTACAACTTTTGACTGTGATTTTTGTTTCATTGAAGGGTATTTAGGGAGTGGGACAAATGCGACCTTTTGTCAATCGCATTTGTCCCACTCCCGGGTATTTATTTTGTCACTCATTTCCCAAAGACATTTTGTGATTCTGCTTTTAACAACTGAATATCTTTAGCTATTAAAACAAATATGAAAGATATTCAGTTAAGCCAAATTTCTTCAATTTTTATCTAATCCAGTTGTGGGGTAGGCTAATTTCTGCAATGCGCAACTAGATCTTTTGCGCAACTCGCCATAACTTTCTTCTAAGTCGGTCAATCTTTATAATTTTGGTTTCATTTTGTAGCACTTATTGAGATCTACAAATTGAAACCAAAATCATAAAGATTGACCGACTTAGAAGAAAGTTATGGCGAGTTGCGCAAATGACCCTGTTGCGCAAAAAAAAATTTGCGGAAATTAGCCTACCCCCAGTTGTGTCTAAAGTCCAAGGGTTTTTCCAAAAAAATGTGCTACATTTTGGTGCTTTGTTTGAAGCTTAAATATTGTTAAAAATAAATCTTCTTGAAAAAGAATAACATAAAATTCGAGTAAACAATTTTGAACGCAAAAAAAAGCAGGTCAATAAATATTGTGATCGAAAAAAAGAGAGGGAAACGGGGGAAACAAAGGATTTTTCTCTTTCCAAAACAGATATCTTGCAATTTTTTTCTCAAATTCTTACAATTTTACAGTTTCTGCGAACTTTTGTTCACTCAAAGATTTTGTTTTTTTTGATTTTTTTTTGATTGTTTGACTTAAGACCTCAATTTTGTTTTGTTTTTTTCTTTTATTGGGTTGGTGAATTGAAAACTGCGGGCTATTGTCATATGTGACAGTTTGAGGACTTTCTTCAAAAGAAACCCATTTTGGTGTCAATGGAAAAGTTGTAGAGAATCAAAAATCAAGCTTATATCCAAATTTTCAGAACGATTCAAAAACGGGTTTTGAAGAGATGCGAAATTTACGAATTTTCACAAAACTTGCATTTTAAGCGAAACTACTAAGTGTATCTTTTTGGAAATTTGGCTATAAGCCTCATTTTTGATTCTCTACAACTTTTCTATTGACACCAAAATGGGTTTCTTTTGAAGAAAGTGCTCAAACGTCCTCCAGGGACATCTCCAGTCCTCCATTTTTGAGTCTCACACTTGTCTCACACACAAACCAAAATCCTACCACGAAAGAGGAATCCGCAAATTGCCTGTAAAATGGGCAGAAGTCGTCAATAATAATGGAAATTATTTGGAATGAATTGATGGTTTTATGTTGAATAAATTTTAGTTCAAAATCTGGCAGTTTTCAATTCACCAACCTAATAGGTTTGGAAGAGAATTTAAAAACATTTCAGATGCACAGACTTAAGGCCTCAATTTTGTTTTGTTTTTTTCTTTTATTCACCGATTCTTCAATGAATTCAAACGGTCAATTTCAGTGTTTTTCTTCCAAATTAATTTCTCTATTTCGAGCTATTTCCGAGTCTACAATTTCAATGTCAAAAATAATAATATCCAGGATTATTGTAGACAAAATAGTTACTCTTTTTTGACTAAACTGATCAGAGGAAGTCTGGGAAAGGCAAGACTGAGTGCTGATCAGTTTTTTTAAAGCTTGAGAGAAAAAAGAACTTGAAAAACATGAATCCATGAATCAAATGATACCCAAAATAATACCAAAATGTAATCAGCTCGATTACAGTAGTTATCTAAAAATAATTGCCTTTTAGAAAGTGCATTCTTCAAGAGGAAACATT